GGGACTCCAGGATCATGACCTGAGCCGAAGGCAGTCGCTTAACCAACTGAGCCACCCAGGCGCCCCTGTTTTTAATTTTTTAATAAAAATAAAAAATAAAATGCTCCTAATTTCTCAGAGCAGTGCACTTGTACAAAAGTTACTGTGTACAGACCATACAGAAGGATATTTGAATAAACATATTGGACAAAACATGAGTGGACAACAAAATATTAAAACCAAATACAGGCTGTGATGCCCTTGAGAGGCCAAGGAGTTTAAGAGAGGAAAGACATGAAGCTCAGATTCCTGATGCTTCTCATTGCTCTTAACGCCAGCCTTTGCCAGATGAAGTCAAGAGTCTGAAAGACATCTAGTTTGGGATTATGAAGCCGCTTTCCTGTGGCTTGAATCTAGTGAAGTCATTAAGGAGTGCTGTCCACTTGCCAGACCCCCTCCCCTACGACAGTGTTCCATGAGGTCTCTGAGAATGCTGCTGATGTCAGCTGTCAGCACTAATGTTCTTCCTCTCTCGCTCTCAAAGCCCTAACCCATATTTCCTGCTATTTACAACCCACGGACTGTCCACATCACACCAACCACGTCAAAGGCTGAACTTGTCTTCCTTCCAAAGACCTTTCCCCTCCCAGGTTTCTCAGTTTTCCCAATTAAACTTCCCATCCTGCCCCCAAAGTTCTCCAGTTCTGGCTCCTTGACTCCTACAGCTATAAAGTGTTGAATGTGTTCATTTCTGCCTATGGAATTTATATTGTTCACATTATTTGTTCACCTTAATGTGTGTGCCCTCTTTTATAATTTTGCAAACCCATGGTGTCCCCCTAGTGTGTGAGCTACTGGAAGATAGGAGTATTGCTGGTTCAATCCCTTTATATAGTGTTGGTGGTACTACCAGCTTGTCATCTTTCCTGTCAATCTTGAATGTTGACACTAAGGTTATTTTTCCAGCCCTTGCCTTCTACTATTTGACTTGCCAACTGTAAACTATGTAAATGGGATTCCAAGCGCTGTCTACCTCAGCTGTCTTTCTCAGAACCAGCCAAAGGTATATGAAGCCAGGCCTGGGAAAGTGGCATTCAATCATTATTGCAACTGTAAAACAATAAATCCACAGCCACGTTTTGATTCAATTTCCTGATCTCTGAAAACTACAAGCCATCTGTACAATGATTGTTTCCTGGACTGTCTTATCTACTTTACAGTTTATTATGAAAATCATGTGAAATCACCTATATAGAAGTGTTTCCATAAGTGAAAATGAAGTGTATGAATGTAAGATGGCGATAGTTCTTTATTGTCTAATTGCCCTTGCTTAGTTTTGGGGATCCATCTTTTGGCTTATAGCCCAGGTTCTTTTGTTCCCATCCTTTCTTCTGGTTCAGCCCTAGCCTATACCATTCTTATTGTTATTGAAACAGCTGCTTTTACTTCTTAAACCAGGATCCACCCTTCCCCTCTTTCAAAGCACAGCTCCGAGCCACCTCCTGTGGAAAAACTCCCCAGTCATGCAGAAGGAAATGATAAACTTCCAGATAGGCCATTGCACCACTCCCTCAGTTTCTCCCAGCCCCCGTATTAAGTGTCTAGCCTAGCACAGAGTAATGGGCACTTTTGTAGGAGCTTCACCATGTATAAAGCATTTGCACTTACATTACCATTCTTTAATGTTTTCAGAAATGTGATATATTAAGGGTTTTTTTTTCAGGAAGAAATTAAGAATAAATGAATTCCCCAAGACAAATAATGATTAAAAAGGAGGGAAGAAGTCACAGATCTGTGTTTACTATGTACTTATACAGTGTAGTCCCATCTTATCCACAGAGGATACTTTCCAAGAACCCCAGTGGACGTCTGAAACCGTGGATACTACCAAACCCTATGTATGTTTTTTTCCTATACAGACATACCTATGATAAAGTTTAATTTATAAATTAGGCATAGCAAGCGATTAACAACAGTAAGAAAAAGTTATAACAATATACTGTAATAAAAGTTATGTGAATGTTGTCTCTCTCAAAATATCTTACTGTCCTGAAGCCCCTGGGTGGTGCAGTCGGTTAAGCATGGTTTCGGCTCTGGTTCTAATCTCAGGGCTGTAAGACTGAGACCAGTGTCTGACTCCTCACTCAGCACGGAGTCTGCTTGGGATTCTTTCTCCTTCTCCCTCTGCTCCTCTACAATCTCAGCGGTACTATTAACAGTAATGTGTGTGATAATTATTGTCTTCTCTCTCTAGACCCGGGGCTCTTATCAGAAGAGTGATGACGTCTGTCTTGCTCTCCATAGAATCCCCTGCACCTAATACAATGCTTGTCACATATAAGCTCTTCAATTTTGTTGAATAAATAAGGACTGAAACCCAAATTTTCTTACTCATTCTAGATTTGACTGGGAAATACTAGGCTGGGAAAAACGTTACAGTGATGCAGAAGAAGGCAGAATGAAGTAAATACTCCTCTAAGATAATGGCATAAATTCCAAAGGACTAGACACCGCTGCGCAGAGGTGGCTGGAGCGGTTCAAAATGGTTCAGTCTAGGACACGACTTCCACGGAGGATGTAACCATTACTAGCGATTCATACGCAGACCAACCGCTCTCCCGCAAAAACCCCGATCACACTCCTGTCCTCTCTTCCGTACAATGCCCCAAGATGGCGGGGCCCGTGATTGAATCCCAGATTCAAGATGGCGGCTTCCGACGTCCCCTGCAGCGTCGCGCGTGGCCACGGAGGCCACGCCCACTTCCGGCACCGCGGCCTCAGTATGGCAGCTATAGGTACTCTGCTTTTGAGTAAGTGGGTGTGGAGTCGGTGGGCTCGGGAGTCCGCGGGGCCAAGTCTAGGACCCCTGAGTTGACTGCATGGCCTCTGCTCCAATTCTGCCCTGTTTTCCCTGCAGGTGTCCGGAGGCTGCACAGCAGCGTGGCGGCTCGGGCGGGCAGCCAGTGGCGACTCCAGTGAGTGCCGGTCTAGTGCGGCTCTGGGGGAGGTACTGGGGGGGTACTGGGAAGCCAGAAGCAGGGCCGAATCCTCACCGCACTGTTTTTCTCCACCCAGGCAGGGCCTGGCTGCCAACCCCTCCGGCTACGGGCCCCTTACCGAGCTCCCGGACTGGTCTTACGCGGGTGAGCGCTGACCTGACAGTTAATTCAGTTTCGCCCAGAGGGAACGCCCCTGCACGGAGGGCGACGGGAGAAGGGGGTCAAGGTGGGGATGGGTCTGAGTGGACAACGTATTGAACTTTATATTTGGAGTTGGGGGAAGAAGCCCAGTTATTTATTTTGTAAATTAAACTAGGTCTATGGAAAGTAAAGCTAGACAGGATCTTGTGGGGATGAGCAGAAGATAATTCTATTTTGGGACGCCCCGGGGGAGGGAGTGACAAGATTTTTACGTTTCTCGTGGTGGGACGGTTTTTAAAAAGTTAGAAAGACCCACCGTTCAGTGTGGTGAGTACATTGTTGAAAATTTGGTACCAAATGGAGAGAGAGCTCTTTGAAAGGCTGCCTAAGTGAACATCTCAGAGAGAGGGGTTAGAAGGGTGAGGATTGAGGATGGAGGGCTCCTTGCAGAAAAGTTTCTTCTCTTTACTTAGGGGGGATTTAAAAAATGAAGGAAAAGGAAAGAAAGAAAAAATAGGTATTACCCCTAGAAGGGAGGGATCTTAGAAAAGCTGAAGCCACTCCCTACTGCCAATGTGGGACTCCAGTTTACAGGTGGGAAAATTGAGACCTCAGAGTTCCTGTGATCACACAGCTAGGTAATAGCAAAGCAAGGACTAGAACTGGGTAGGGGCGAGGCCCCCTTCAACAGGACAGAGACCTGGATACTAATACCCTATTGGATTCTATAGGAGTATGATCCTCAGAAGGATGGTAAAGATTTTTTCCACTTGTTACTTACTGCGGGAAACCCAGCATCTCCTAAAAGTAGTATGGAATATTGGAAAGACTCTGGAATTGATTCTTAATTCAGGCTTCTGTACTTGCTGACATTGTGGTCTTGGACATGTTACTTAATTGTATCTCTCAGTTTCCACAAAACTTTTGGGCAAACTTTTCACTGTTTCTTATTTTGTAGAAAGTAAGTGTCCTTTTTCTTCATCTTCATTATAAACGACTTCAGGTCAGGTACTGCATTTTTCACCAAGTCAGCAGGTATTTCTGGAATTTGTAGGATGTGCTTATGTGCTTACACTGTACTACAGTGAAACCTAGGGACATAGTCTGTGAAAGTCTAGCTGAGAAAACAGCATGGACATTTTAAAAATTAAATAATAGGGGTGCCTGGGTGGCTCAACCAGTTAAGCGTCTGCCTTTGGCTCAGGTCATGATCTCGGGGTCCTGGGATTGAGCTCCCTGCTCAGCAGGAGTCTGCTTCTCCCTCTGCCCCTCCCCCCACTCGTGCTGTCTCCCGCAGGTGTGCTGTCTCTCTCTCAAGTAAATAAAATCTTAAAAAATAATAATACTTCATTGCTCTACCCCTTTCCAAAAGAATTTGAGATGGCCAAATGAAGCAAAAAACCAATAGTACAATAAATGTCCCAAGGCAAATAGATGAATATTAAATCATTGGTAGGCACTTTTTTTTAAAGATTTTATTTATTTATTTGAGAGAAAGAGAGCCACAGAGACCACAAGCAGGGGGAGGGGCAGAGGGAGAGGGAAAAGCAGACTTCCTGCTGAGCAGGGAGGCTGATGCAGTGAGCTCCATCCAGGGACTCCAGGATTGTGAGCCTAAGGCAGATGCTTACTGAGCCACCCAGGTGCCCCAATAGGCACTTCTTTCAGGAGAGGGGTAACAGAGTTGAAGAGGTCAGAGTAGGGTTTCTGGGCAGATAGAGCTTTAGGGGGGGGCCTAAGGACAAGAACTGGGCTGAAAGGAAAGGAAAAGAGAGCATTTCGTTGAGGAGTGAGATGGAATTTAGCAAAGACTCATGATGAGTAGAACAGTGATCAGATTGCCTGAGTGGAGGGTTTCTAAAGATAAAACAGGAGAGGGGCGCCTGGGTGGCTCAGTCAGTTAAGCATTAGACTCTTGATTTTGGTTTAGGTCATGATCTCAAGGTCGAGATCTTAAGATTAAGTCCCAGACTGAGCCCCAAGTCAGGCTCTGCACTCAGTGGGGAGTCTGCTTGAGATTTTCTCCCTCTCCCTCTGCCCCTCCTCCTGCACGCTCTCCCTCTCAAATAAATAAAAACTTTGGGCGGGGGGGAAGATAAAACAAGAGATTCAGCACTGCAAAGGACCATTCCAGGATAACGACGGGTCAGTGAAATAGTTAGGAGTATGCCTCAGAGCTTATTCTTGGCATACCTTACCCTTGACACTGAGGGATGGGTTTTTGGAGAATGAAGCCACCACAGCTGTGAAATGGGAGAGAGGAACTAGAGACCGGTTCTTCCCTTGTTCCTATTCCAGTGCCTTCACAGGGTGCTGCCAGCCATCTCTAATATCTGTCTTTTTCTTCACTTCCATCTACAGATGGCCGCCCTGCACCTCCAATGAAAGGCCAGCTTCGAAGAAAAGCCCAAAGGGAGAAGTTTGCAGTGAGTGGCTAGAGCCCCAGTCAGGGCAACCTGTGTGTACTTGGAGGGAAAAAATTTACATTTTAATTTGGCTTGAGCTGTGCTGACACCTAAGCTCACATGTACCCTCTACACCAGCGTTTTAACAGCTAGAGGTTTTTATGGTACTGCGAGAAGGGAGGAAGAGAGTGGGGCACTCCCAGGGCCGGAACGAGTAGTAGCTGTTCTGCCCTGCATTTTGCCTCCTCCTGCTTCCCATCCCAGGACCCGGTCCCCTTCCCCAGTCAGCAGTGTCATTTTCCAGCTGAAACCTCTGGCTTTGATCTGTGAGTGAAAGGATATATGGTGCAGAGCTCAAGCCCCAGATGTTATCCACCCTGTTTTCCTGTCTGTTTCAGAGACGAGTTGTACTGCTGTCACAGGAAATGGATGCTGGATTACAGGCATGGCAGCTTAGGCAGCAGGAGAAGTTGCAGGAAGAAGAAAGGAAGCAGAAAAATGCTCTTAAACCCAAAGGGGCTCTCCTGCAGAACCCATGACCAAGTCCATAAAAGCAGTTCCTGTCTCCCTTTCCCAGCCTCTCTCTGGTTTTCTTCTCTATCACCTCCATGCCTCATCCCAGCCAGGAGAGAGAGCCTTCACGTTGCCCATCTATCTTCAGAGCACAAGAGCTTGGACACTGGGAAGAACCGCCTGTCAGATCACTGCCTGGAGGAGTTGGCCTAGTGCCCTCATCCCTGGCCCCATTCCAGTTCAGTGGAATCCTGCTCTGGGATACTTACCCCCTTTGCAGGCCATAGGACTGGCCCAACTGTGAACAGTAGCTGCTCTGCGAATATGGAAAAGGGGTAGCAGCTCCCCTGGTTTTAGCTAGGCACTCAAGCCTTTAACAGCCCGTACACAGCTCAGGCTGAATGCAGTTACTCATTTAATAAATGTTTTGATGGAAAAGGCTTTCCGGCTGAGGTCCATTTCTTGGCAAGCAACTGGTGTCAGTTTCCCTAAACTTCAGATACAGGGCGCAAGAGGATACCCCCGCGGGGAAGGCTGACATGGGAAGAACCAGACTTGGGTGTTGCGTGTCTGCTGAAGAGTTGGATCCTGAGGTTTCTGTTGTTCTGGCTGAATTCCAGAGCCTGGTCAGAGAGAGGCCTGTACCTCTCGACCCCAATTTGTGTAGGAGAGCCCTGGAGGGGCTCAGCCCCCAATCGGTCACTGTGGCATGGGTACCCAATATCCATCATATATCGCCCACAAACCCGGAAGCTGCCCAGGACCCAGGGAAACCTTTCCCATTATTGATCATGGATTCTGGGAGAAAAGGGCCTCTGCTCCCATTGCAATATAGAGCACTGGGCTTTCTTTCCATTTTCCTGCCACAAACTTGTAATAGTTCCTGGATCTCTAGTATTGCTGGAGCTTCCCACCTGACCTAAATTCTGTCCAGCCTCCTTTATGCCTTCCCTTGCTTTCTTTCCCTCCCTTCTTACCCCCACTACCTCCTTCCTCTCTCGCTGACCAATGCAATTCTGGGATCTTAGATTTCGCTGATGGTCGAGTTTTCTGTCTCCCACACTTTTCCTGCTTCTTTTGGGCTGCTTTTCCAGATCTAGCTCCCAGCCTCTTATCTGTCTCTCTTCCCCACTGTCAGCTTCAGCTCTCCCTCCCCCTGCCCTGGTTCTCCCCCTGCCCTGCATATCTCCACCTTTTGTTCTCTTGTTTAGGCAGTCCCTGAAGATTTTACTACCTCAAGGAATTGCCTTTTTCCACTGTGGAGGGGAAACTAAACCCCAAAGTCTGAACTCCCAATCTCTCTTGTCTAACAGTTTCCCTGAACTTGATTTGCCTTTCCCCACATTCCATGGCCTTGCACCTCCTTCCTCCCCAGCCAGTTTAAGGAGCAGCCAGATTGCAAATGATGATAATTAAGTGAGTGCATTTGTCTTTTCCACAAGGATGGGACCAGCGTGGTTGTGGAGCTGATTGATGGGTAGTTGGGTTTTGTTACTGTTGCAGGTTTTGAGCAGGAGAGGGATGGAGGTGGTTGTCCAGAACAAGGGGCATAGTTTCAATTTGGTGGAGCCACAGGTCCCAGCAGACAATCTCCAACCCAGGTGTGGTGGACATGGAAGACCCCTACCAGCAGCATCCCAGACTCTGAACTTATCTGCCCCAGCCGCTGAGCCTCCCAGTACTTCCACTCTGAGGTGAAACAAACGCTGAATACCAAGGAATCAAGCCACCTAAAATATGCTTAGGGGGAGAAAGTCTCCCACATCCCATCCCCTGGGTCCCCCCCACCCACCTCAGACCCCCGTCCTTAGCTGTGGCCTCAATCCCTGCAGATGGCAGCCTCCACCACAGAAAGGCAACTTAGGGGTTTTTTTTTACCCGGCTCTTGGCTGTAATTGGATTCAGGCTGAAACAACCACGTCCGCACGGGAAAGGAGGGCATTGGCGCGGGGGCGGAGAGGCTGTGGGAGAAGGGAGGGACCAGAGGAGTGAGAGAGGGCTCCCGATGCAGTTCGCAGACTAAGCAGAAGAAAGATCAAAAAAACGGGAAAGAGGGGACGAGCAAACAGGCGCTTTCAGGAACAATCCCCTCCTCTCCAAGCGGACAGCGCTCGAGGAATCCAAATTCAGTGCCCACCGAAGACAAAGGCGCCCCAAGGGAGTGGCGGCGCGACCCCAGGGCTTGGGCCCCCGCCGCGGAGCCCGCACGGCTGGCTGCCGGGACGGTCGCGGACCATGTCTCCTGCCCCACGGCCCACCGGCGGTCTGCTGCTCCCCCTGCTCACGCTCGCCACCGCGTTCGCCTCCCTCAGCTCGGCCCAAAGCAGCTTCAGCCCCGAAGTAAGTGAGCTCCCCGGCCCTGCCGGCAGTCGCGCCCGCCGGGGAGGCGAGCCGGGGGTCTCCAAGGGGACAGCCCCCTCTTTGGAGAGCAGGGCGCTCGGGGTCTCGGCCGCTCCAGCCCGCAGCAACCCCCTCCCTTTCCTTTCCCTCCTCAGCTCCAAACTTCCAAGTCGATCCAACTTCTGCCTCCCCCTGCCAGCCCCCCTCCCACCCGCCGCCGCCGCCGCCGACTTGCTTTCCCAGTCCTTTCCTGGGAAGAGCTTTACAGCTGGGGCCCACCCGCACCCTCCCCGGTCCCCCCGGGCTCTGAGCTCAGCTCCAGAACCAGGAGGGAGCTTGCTAAATACTTGGACTCCGCTCAGCCCCGGCTCTGCCCTGGTTTCTTGTCCTGTGCGCGAGTCCGTTGTTTCTTCAACTTTCCAGCCCTCCGGCGCTCTCCCGCCCGCGCCCGCCGGCCGGGGAAGGCTCGGGTGGACGGCGCCGCGGCTCCGGGGCCCCCCACGCTGCGCGCCTC